GGGGGTGGGAGTTGGGTCTAGGTAGGGGGTGAAAAAGTGAAATTCTTGAAGTTGAAAATACTCTTAAAAATAAACTCAAATTTGTTTTCTTGGGGTGGGGTGGGGTGGGTCGGGGACTGGGGTGACAAAATAAAATTTTGAAATTGAAAATAGTTTTAAAAAATTAATGTTTTTCCAAAAAAGAAAAAGTAATTTTAAGTTGGATGAAAGTTTTGGAAAATGTTTTCCTTAATTTTTGAAGGAAAGTCCTCAATTTTTTTGAAGGGAAGTCATTTTCTTTAATTTTGAGGAAAATGAATTGATTTGGAAACATTTTCCTAAACTTTTGTCCCAACCAATCATGAGAAAATTGAAAAACATTTTCCAGAAAATGTTTTCGTTCATACCAAACACACCCAAAGAGAACTTGAGCAACTGTGCCAGTCTATCTTGTCAATCATACATTCGATGCTTCTCCTTCTTGCTTCCACCCCTTTTCTTTCTTCCCCTTTCTGTGTCTCTGTCTAATGCCACTCAATGTTCTATTGACTAAGGCGTTTGTCCCTACATTTCTTATCTTTTTCCATCTGAGACATAAAATTTACTTGACTTGTCATTCTCACTCAAATCTCCTTGTTCAAATGTGTTCAGGTACTCACCACTGCATAATGTCAGAAGGCCATGGGAACAATCTCCCAATCAAGAATCTCAATATCCGCCCACTATGCTATTGACAGCAGATCATGACGATCGAGTGGTGCCACTGCACTCTTTGAAATTATTGGCGGTACGTCATTCTAAATATAGTCCTACTTCTTCTGACTCTTCACAGACAACTATGAGCCTTTGTATTGCCATTGCATCTGCATCCAGTTTTTCCCTTGATTTTGAGTGGCACGCATATTACGAGATGATAAAATCTTTCTACTTTCTTGTCAGTTGGAATAGTTTTTCAGAGTGTAGCATTTTGAATTGTAAATCTCGGGACTGAGTTGTGGTTGGTTGGTCTAAACAAATGAAAAATGAAAGAAATAAATTAGTCTATCTTTTGTTTCCTGCACCTGGGTATGAACATGATTTGGTTAATATATTGTGGCTCAAACTACAAATATACAACCATTTTCCTGTTGGGCTGTTCCACTTTGAAAACTTAAAATCTATATAGTTCAAAGTTACGAGTACTACACCTATCACGTGATCATAATAAAATATTATAAACAGTGAGTAATTTTCTTTTGGAAAAGGTTTTTCATGTGAGTTCCCTTCATTGTCTTTTTATGGAATACCTACATTGATGGACCTGTGTGATCCTTTTTCATTGAAAGTTGCATTATTGCTAATTTCTATATGATTTACATTTTGTTTCTTATTTTCTAGTGAACCATTTTGCTAATTGTGATGTCTTGTTTAGACCATGCAATATGTCCTATGCACAAGCTTGGAGAAGAGTCCCCAGAGCAATCCCATCATTAGTAGGATCGAATGCAAGGCTGGTCATGGAGCTGGAAGACCAACACAAAAAGTGGTAAGTTTCCTACTAGTCATCATTCTGGCCTGCTTCCATTGACAGTCACGCTATGTTGCATGTAATATCGCTGTTGCAGATTGATGAAGCTGCAGACAGATATGCGTTCATGGCTAAGGTTATGGGTGCATCTTGGGTTCAGTAAATGAAGTTGATGAAGGGCATTAGTAAAGCATATGCAAAGAAGACTGTGAAGGGTGAATTTACATCTTGTCTTGTGGTCATAATTTGTGCTGCCAATTCCAAATCAAGTACCTATCACTAGGCTCTCCTCATTGATGATCTCTTGGGAATCCTATGGTGTGAAGTGAAGCTGCACGAAAAGCTTAACAACATGATCAATTTTATGGTTCCGACAATATTATAGGGCACTTTTTGAAGCTCATATAAGATTGTGATGCATTGCATCTTTAATCCGTTCAACCCCCCCCCCCCCAACTATTCTATTTTTGCTCCCCTCCTGCATTTCTTTCCAGTATGAAAATGGTATTCATAATCACGGGTTTCTCATGTATTTTTGCCGATTCTGAGATCTCATATAAAGCTTATGATATTTTTTTAAAAAAACTTAATTTCAACTGCAGAAAATATTCTTCTCAGCTCCAAGTTGATATCTTTTGATAGCTTCTGATACTTACTGGATTATGATTTTACTTATGTTGTGTTGAATTTTTTTTAAGAGATTGAATGTTTACCAATCTTAGTTGGAGGTTTATTTCATCTATCCTAGTGTTTTTCTTTAGCAAATATCTATAATATGACTCAGTTACAGATATACGCTCATAATCCCAGATCAACTACTGAATATCCCAATATAGTAAAGACCTTCGAAAAATATAAACATGCACAATTAATTGTCATGGTTTCCTTTTATAGAGTTGAACTAAAAGAACTTTGATCAACATTTTATGATGAATATTTTTTATCATATTAATATGTAAAAATTTGCAATTTTATCGTATTTTTTGTATATATTTTGAATATCTATTTTTAGAAAAAATAAATATCTAATATACCTAATCTAATTTAACACTAAAATTAATCAAATTGACTTTCGAAAAGCACAACATGAAAAATAAAAGTGCGCAGAGGGAGTATTTTGGTGTTGTGGAATGAGGTAGATTATTCATTATTTGAAGAGCTACTACACAAGATATTTGGTCATTTGTGTTTGTGAGACCCCGTGGTTGTTTCACATAACAGGTATAGTATTGCATGAGTGTATGAGGTTTATACAACTTGGTGTATCACGTTAGGAGAATTATTTTGCAAAGGATGATAAAAATGAAAGAATTAGACAAACGTTAAGGGTCAAGGATGTCCTTAAACAAGTTTGAGTTAAATAATGTCTATTCTAACACCGAGTCTGTTCGAAACATTTAAGTTAACCAATACTAAGATCGATAAAGAATTTTTTATATGCTAATAAGGATGTTTTATAAGGTGATGTGGTCGCCCAATGATTGTAATGCCATGACCGGGGAGCACCCCCTAGACGTACCCGGCTTCTTCGTCCTCGAAGAGAACTTAGACTAGCCCTTAGCATTCATTATTACATTTAATAGGTCAAAAATGTGAAAGAGTTTAAAAACTTTTTACAAAGTGAGGACCTCTCACATATCATATATAGAGTTTACTTAGACTCCTCGTTTATGAAGCTTACATAGACTTCTCATTTAGGCAACTTAACTAATATAATAATTTGTCTAATACTTTGTCTCACATTAAACCATCTAAAGCGAAGTATAACATTCGGGCATAGCCCTTATACAAGTACATATTGCCACATATCGCTTACAACAAATGTTTTCAAGAATAGGGAGGAAATGAATGTCTTTAGACAATAACAATGCTACTAAGGTAGAACAAATGGCACAATCCTCGAATTTGAGGACTCACTAACAACTTGGGTGAAAAGTCCAAGTCTTCTAGCAAAGTGATCTAGAAGTTCTTCAATGACCGGAACCTATAATGTTGCGGAAAAAGAGAAGAAATATGGGTTAGTACACACATGTACCAAGTATGGTTCCTATGCATAAAATCATCAATGCATGAGAAAAGACAATTTATTCAAAACCATGCATTATAACAATTAACTCAACATGCACATATATGGAACATTACAAGTCAACTAAATCATGAAATGTCCCAACACATAGGCGACCCAAAGAAAAAATTGTGCAATGCCAAGAATAGAACCCCATAACCCTATCCAAAGCTAAGCATCACACCAAGTCACCTACTACATGCATACAACATAACCTCATACTTTGTCATAACATGCTTGATTCATAAGATCATATATAACTTGACATACATAGCATGTAAGCAACTTAATCATAAAAGAACACTACTAAGATATCCCATAAGATCCAACATGTGCAATGGGTAAGAGAAGTCCCATACCCTCCCTCACCCTATTAGTAACCGTTAGGACAAGACCAAATAACAGTTCACATACTTGACTTGTTCATTTACCTTTTTACATTAGGGAAGGAAGTGAATAACCGACATGAGACCATGAGCTACATGGAATCTGGTTTTCTCCTCCCACACCGAAAAGAGAGGGTTAACACTTGCCTAAGGTGTAACCATCCGTACATAGCTATCTAGGTGGATCCAATAAGCTATAGTTCTATGTGGGCACATAGTTAAGGTTCAAGGAGATTGCTACTAGAACCTTGACTTGCTAAATGTGGAGGTTTTCATCTCATGACACAACACATATCTTGGAAATCCGGACTTGCTAAAGGTTAAGAAACCCATGTGGGAGACCGGACTTATTAAACGTGAGACTTCCATCTTATTTATATGCCCTTTAGGTGCTAAGCATTTATTTCCTTTAGTAATCATCATACCCATCGTACAAGATCATATTATTCTCTTATAGACCCCTATGGGAACATATGGTCATGATAACTCATAGGTATTCATTAGTGAGAACTATCCTTTCAATTAGAAACCACATATAAGTGAGTAAACCTTTCACTCAACGCTTAATCCTAATCATGAGAAGCTACATTCAATCATATAAAAATCATACCATAATACTTGCATACTTCATAGCCAATTCGATAGTCTAGGGTTAGGGATGAGGAATACTTGATATCAACATCACAACCACACATTAGACATATAACCATTATAATCTAAGTTACACATGCTTCATCATTGAATTCAAGAAGAATCAATCTTCATACCTTCTTGCCCTTTCATTGTCTTCATACTTCAAATTACAAAGAATACATAACCAATACATAACCAACTTAGATTCAAGAATTAATGCATAGCAATTATAACTATACATAATAATATGATCATCATCTACCACAATTACAATATAATTCCAAGATAAAGTGAGCTTAGGGAAGAACAAGGGTTTAAGGGGAAATCTTGAGTGATTATCAACAATCAACCTTAATTACTTAGTTAAAAAATGATAAAAGATCACAATTCATCACAACTGAATAACAATTTCGTTTTGAAAAGAGAACCCATGTCTAAATTGAAACCTTAGTTTTAGGGAAGTGGAAAACTATCTTTGGAAAGGGCCTCTCGAGAAAAGGAATTTCTAGAGTGAAAGAAACCTTACATTATGGATGATCTTGCCGCAAATGTTAGATGAAATACTTTGTGAATTCGTCCTTGAATTGGAGTTCTAGTGTTCCCTTAATGGAGGTTTGAGTTTTGGGAGAGAAAAGCTAGAGAAGTTAGAGAGATGTGGGTTTGGGAAAAAAATGGGTTGTTAAGTTAGTCGAATGAGGATTAGACTTTATATAGTCCACTAACTAAATTAATTAACCACCCCTTAACCCTTAATTAATCACCTAAGTAATTAACAAATTAACTCCATAACTTTAAAACATGGCAGTCGACTTTGGACCTTCAAAAGATCGTTGTCCGTCGATGAGGCGTCGATCAAATGACGGTGTCGTACTGGCAAGCCGTCGTTTGATTCAGAGGCTATGTTTTTGGCCATTTTTGGAAATTGATAACTTTCAACCAACAGAGCCATTGACGGCTCATCGATCAAACAACGACTTGTCGTTTGGCTCGTGGATGCACACTGTCCAATTTGACAGTTTTGGGTCAAATGGACATAGGGGAATCGTACCCGGACGTTTCAACTCTAAACATACTCTAGTACATATTTAGTACCTTTTTACCATATTTCACTAAATTCCAACTCTTAAAACCCATTGAATCACGTGAAGGCACACTAGCACACGTCACATAGTTCTCCGGACGTAATGGTCGTTTCTTAACATTTCGACTCTAACACTTCCTAATTAGTTTCAATACACTATTTTAGTCTTAGAAACAATGTTTTAAGTCTTAGTTCACATAGTGAGGCTCTAGACCAAGTCATAGATTTTCGGAGTGTTACATTATGCTCCCCTTAGGAACATTTATCCCTAAATGACACCTAAAGCATTTTCTTGACACCACCATTTTAGGCCTACGGCCACCACAGTAAAAATTTAGCCTAAACTAGCAAAAAGTGTGCCCTTTGATAAAAGGCTACCTTCTTCTACTCGAGCCTCGGCAGAGCATTTTTTATCTCATTCGTATTCTAAGGAATTCTAATAGACTCTTTCATATTGCACCGGTGCTGGAAAAGATAGGACACTTTTGGACTTTAAGCAACACTTTTTAAGGGGCGGCTTAAAGAAGCGTAACCTTTGACATTAGGCAACACTTTTTAAATGTCGCCATATTTGGTATAAGGGAACGCTTTGTTGTGATGCATTAGCGACACCTATTTTTATTATACTACACTTAAAAGTGTTGTCTTTGCGGTGTTATTGCCTTTTATATGTCATCTAAAGCAACACTTATAAAGTGTAACTTTATATCTCATCTAGAGCAACACTTATAAATCATAACTTTAACATTGAACGTCCTGTAACAACACTTTTGAATTGCATATATTCAATATATAATTAAATATAAAAGTGACCTAAAGCACAAAATTAACTAATAATGAAATCAAAACTATATATTTCAAATAAACTTTGAGAAACATGTCTTGTACAAACAATTCTTAGAAAATGATTTCTTAAAGATCTCTAATATCAATAAATTCCAAAAAATCAAATGCAATCAAACGTTATGACAATTGTACAAAAACTCTGCATCGTTCATTACAATAGATCGAGTTTACTTCTGACCACAATTCAAATCAATCACCGGCATTTTCCAGCAGATTCAAAAAATAATTACAAGTGAAAAAAATGTGAAGTGCAAAATTGAAGAGTGTTCACTATAAACCAACCAATCAAGTGGAGTAACTGCTAACCACAACATTAGACAGAGAGAAAGACGTTGCAATGAGGAGTAGATACACTACTCCCAATACTCCACTTTAAATTATTAACTGAATCACTATTTCCAAATAACATCTGTATGACAAATATAATATTTAGGCTAAGTAAGCCGATAAATATGCCAAGATATAAGAACTCCATTAACTGAGATATGTTGATGTCTTCTTGAATATTAAAAGAACTCTCAATATCGGAGTAGAATCCAAGTTAAGGGACAATATAGAATTGTTGATGGATTTTCTTATAAGCTAATCAAGAGAACAACTTGACCA